GTGGAACAGAAAATCCAGAAGTCATGAATGACTGACTCAGAAGCCAAATTGAAGATGATCCCAGTGATTTGTCGATGGGACAATCTGAGCATCAACAAGGTTGCAATGGTTTGAAATACATGAAATATAAACCTGGGTTTTTGTTTTGTTTTTTTTTTTTTCCCCTGCATCATGTGGTCAGTGGGATATGTTTTTCCACCAGGGGAACCTGTGGTCCCTGCAGTGATAGTATTGAGTCTTAATCCCTGGACCACCAGGGAAGTCTTGGGAAACAGCTCTTTATGTTGGAAACTGATAAATATAGGGAAAGAATCAAGTATCAATTATTGATCCTGTTTTTCTTATACAAGCAAAGAGTTTGGGGGCGGGGAGATCTTTTTATAAATATATTTGGGCTAATAAGTGGAAGAATAAGAGAATCAAAATATTCTACTTTGTCACCCCTTTGTAAATAAATGGATCCAGTCACTGCCCATCAATGACTTGTGACATCATAAAAAGAGACAACCAACAGTATGTGCCTAATTATGGGGGCGCAAAGCATCCACACTGACAAACCTAAACAGTGTGTTGAAAAGCAGAGACATTACTCCACCGACAAAGTTCCATATAGTCAAGGCTATGGTCTTCCCAGTGGTCACATACAGTTGTGAGAGCTGGACCTTAAGGAAGGCCAAATGCCAAACAATTGATGCCTTCGAACTGTGATGCTGGAGAAGACTCCTGAGAGTTCCTTGGACGGCAAGATCAAATCAGTCCATCTTAAGGGATATCAACCCTGAATATTCATTGGAAGGACTGATGCTGAAGCTGCAGCTCCAATACTTTGGCCACCTGATGCGAACATCTGTGGTCATCTGATACCAACAGCTGACTCATTGGAAAAGTCCCTGATGCTAGGAAAGATTGAGGGCAGGAGAAGAGGGCATCAGAAGGTGAGATGGCTGGATGGCATCACCGATGCAATGGACTTGAACTTAAGCAAACTTCGGGAGATGGTGAGGGACAGGGAGGCCTGGCATGCTGTAGTCCATGGGGTGGAAAAGAGTTGAACACGACTGGATGACTGAATAACAACAATAAAGCATCCATATGAAGCCATCCTGAATATATATTAAAAAATCAGGGTAATGTGAAGGCTGAATGGATATTTGAAACTATTTAGGATTTCTTATTATTTTTTTAGATGAGAAAATGGTATTGAGGTTAGATTTTCTAAAGAGTCCTTATCTTTCAGATACACATACTGACCTATTGTACATTAAAAAATATGATGTCTGAGATTTGCTTCAAAATAATCTGAAGGGTACATAGTGGATGGGATATATAGATGATTGGCCATGAGCTTATGAATTTTGGAGCTAGATGGTGGTACAGAATGTTCATTTTGCTGTTCTCTAGACTTTTGTGTAAGTTTCTAATATGCCCTAATACAAAGTAAACATAAAATTATGGAAGGGCTGGAATTATGCCTTTTATAAGCACAGTGCCCTTAATTCAGATCTAGCTTTGAATACACTCTTAGCACATATTCTATTTATATAATTTGTATACATACAGCTTGTATGAAATGGGACTTAATAAAGTTGTAGATGGCCTAGTTTCATACAATCCTGAGTCATCTCACAATTTATGAGTCATTTCCCAAATCCATGACACCTACTTCTTGTTAAGGAAGTAGCAGTTCAACCCATGTTTAGCATTTCTTTTTGCTGGTAAACACATGCATGAATTCATGTGGTGCTGCATTTTATATGTATTTAATACATGGAATTATTGTATGTACATAAGGTCTAGTAAATACAGTCAGAGGGTCTCAATATGCCCTGATCCATTTCATAGTGAATTGCATGTCTGAATCCTTGTTTCTGCCACTTGTGAGAAATGAAGCTTCTCTATCAGCAGTGTTAGCTGTTAGTGTTACTTAAAACCCTGCAATGACTCCCCACTAAATAAAGAACACATTCTGTCCTTTAACAGTAGGGATGCCTTCTTCTCTTACATCTACTTCTGGTTTTGCCAGCTGTGGCCAAGCTGGCAGGAAGGTACTCAACACGCAGTGAAGAAGTCATTGTAACCTGGACCACAGCACCGAATGGGGCCCACTTCTTCCCAGGGAACAATGTGATTGACAGCCATTTCAAGGCTTCCAGAGCTGGGTTTGAAGCCTGTGCTGAAAAGATGTAGCACAGAAGGCCTGTGACTGCTGTCCTTAGGAAAGCCTGTTTGAAAATTTGGACATTGGTTAGTGTAAGAGACTGAATTGTGCCCCCACCCCAAATTCCTATGTTGCAGCCCTTCACCCAAAGTGATTGTATTTGGAGATAGGGCCTTTAAGGAGGTAATCAAGGTTAAATGAGGCCTTAGGGGTGGGGTCTCACCACCTAATGAGGCCATAAGGGTGGTGTCCTTAGATGAAGAGCAAGTTCAGTTCTGTTCAGTTCAGTTGCTCAGTCATGTCCGACTCTTTGCGACCCCATGAACCGCAGCATGCCAGGCCTCCCTGTCCATCACCAACTCCCAGAGTCCACCCAAACCCATGTCCATTGTGTCGGGGATGCCATCCAACCATCTCATCCTCTGTCGTCCCCTTCTCCTCCTGCCCTCAATCTTTCCCAGCATCAGGGTCTTTTCCAATGAGTCAGCTCTCCGCATCAGGTGACCAAAGTATTGGAGTTCCAGCTTCAACATCAGTCCCTCCAATGAACACCCAGGACTGATCTCCTTTAGGATGGACCGGTTGGATCTCCTTGCCGTCCCAAGAGACTCTCAAGAGTCTTCTCCAACACCACAGTTCAAAAGCATCAATTCTTCTGCGCTCAGTTTTCTTTATAGCCCAACTCTCACATCCATACATGACTACTGGAATTCCCATCTCTTTAAGAATTTTCCATTTTGTTGTGATCCACATAGTCAAAGGCTTTAGCATAGTCAATGAAGCAGAAGCAGATGTTTTTTTCTGGAATTCCCTTGCTTTTTCTATGAACCACCAGATGTTGACAGTTTGATCTCTGGTTCCTCTGTCTTTTCTAAATCCAGCTTGTACATCTGTCACTTTACTACTTGTATTGCTGCCAGCTCCTCAGACGCAGAATGCTTACTTTAGTCATCACTGTATTCTCAGTGCCTAGAAAAGAGTAGGGTCCCAGTGTCTGCTGAGTCATTGGTGGGGGTTGCTTAAAACAAAAGAAATTTTGGGAATTCCCTGGCTGTCCAGTGGTTAGATACCCATGCTTTCACTGCCAAGGGCCCAGGTTCAATTCCTGGTCGGAAACTAAGACCCACAAGCCATGCAGTGCTGTCAAAAAAAAAGAAAAAAAAGAAAAAAGAGAAAAAAACCAGAAGTTATTTTATAGTTCTGGAAGTTAGAAGTCTGAAATCAAGGTGTTGGTGGCAGGGCCATGTTCCCTCTGAAGGCCCCAGGGGAGGGACCTTTCTTGCCTCTTTCAGCTTCTGGTGGGTTGCCAGCAATCCTTGGTGGCCCATAGCTTGCAGACTTATCACTCTAATTTCTGTATCCATTGTCACATGGCATTCTCCCCGTGTGTGTATTTCTGTGCCTCTTCTCATCAGGATGCCAGTGACTGTAGTCAGGGCTTGCCCTAATCTAGGATGACCTCATCTTAACTCACATCTTAATTACTCCTGCAAAGACTGATTTCCAAATAAGGTCACATTCACAGGTTAAGACTTGAATAAACTTGGGTGGGCAGGGGAACACAATTCAACCCACAACACCTTGTTTCAGCTATATCAGGATGCCTCACTGGTCAATGCTAATGATTACTGACAATAATTTCTAATTTTCCCTGAGTACTTGCCATATTGTGGGCACTTGGCTAAGTACTTAATGTGCATTATTGCATATGATTCTCTCCCTCCACCATAGACACTATTATTATACCCATTTAATTGATAAGGAAACTGAGGCCTGGTGAGGTGAAGCAACTTGTCGAGTTTCTCATTCAGTTAGTGGTAGATTATAATTTCCAAAATTATGGAAATTATACAGGTGGTAGACTATAATTTTAAAAATTATGAAAATCATACAGATTTCTCCAGACCACCTTACCTTTCTCCTGAGAAACCTGTGAGCAGGTCAAGAAGCAACAGTTAGAACTGGACATGGACTGGTTCAAAATTGAGAAAGGAATACATCAAGGCTGTATATTATCACTCTGCTTATTTAACTTATGTGTAGAGTACATCATGCAAAATGCTGGGCTGGATGAAGCATGAGCTGGAATCAAGATTGCCTGGAAAAATATCAATAACCTAAGATATGCAGATGACACTACCCTTATGGCAGATAGCGAAGAGGAACTAAAGAGCCTCTTGATGAAGGTGAAAGACGAGAGTGAAAAACCTGGCTTAAAACTCAACATTCAAAAAACTAAGATCATGGCATCCAGCCCCATCCCCTCATGGCAAACAGATGGGGAAACAATGGAAACAGTGACAGACTTGAATTTATTGGGCTCCAAAATCACTGCAGATGGTGACTGCAGCCATGAAATTAAAAGACACTTGCTCCTTGGAAGAAAAGCTATGACCAACATAGACAGTGTATTAAAAAGCAGAGACATTACTTTACATACAAAGGTCATTATTGTTAAACTATGGTTTTTCCAATACTCATGTATGCATGTGAGAATTGGACCATAAAGAAGGCCGAGCATCAAACAATTGATGCTTTTGAACTGTGGTGTTGGAGACTTTTGAGAGTCCTTGGACTGCAAGGAGATCAAACCAGTCAATCCAATCCTGAAGGAAGTCAACCCTGAACATTCATAGGAAGGGCTGATACTGAAGCTGAAGCTCCAATACTTTGGCCACCTGATGTGAAGGGCCAACTCATTAGAAAAGAGCCTGATGCTGGGAAAGATAGAAGGCAGGAGGAGAAGGGGGATGGCAGAGGATGTGATGGTTGGATGGCATCACTGACTCAATGGACATGAGTTTGAGTCAACTCTGAGAGACAGTGAAGGATAAGGGAACCTGGCATGCTGCAGTCCATGGAGTTGCAAAGAGTCAGACAAGGCTGAGCAACTGAACAGCAACAACATAATTTCCGAAAATGGTCGCAGCAACATTTCTGGCCCCACGTGCCTTTCCAGAACCTTGTCGCTCCCCATCAAGAAGCAGAACCTTTTTCTTCTTCTGAACCTGGGCAGAACTTTGTGACTGACTCAATGAATAGGTTATAGGGGAAGTGACACTATGTAACTTCCAAAACTGGTCATGAAAGGTACAACTTCCACCCGCCTCTCTCTGAGTCCTTGGCCTTGGAACCCAGCCATCATGCTGTGAGGAAGCCGAAAGCAACCACATGGAGAGGCCTGGGCTACAACCAGCATCAACGTCCATCCATGTGAGTATAGGAGCCTTCAGATGACCCGGGCACTGGTCTTCAAGTCTCCAGCTGGGGCTGCAGACAAAGAGGAGCAGAGACAAGCCATCATCACTGATGTAACCCTATGGGGCTGTCCCAGAGCTCTGTGGCCAGTCCTAGGGTGGGGGGTTGGGGGACAGGGCCTGGCGAGTAGATTGTTCCTGCTGGCTAGTGTGGCATTTCTTTCATAGGATCTTATGAGTCCAGGAGAGTAGAATGGTGGCAACAGGCTGATTTGGGGTGACTTTCAGTTATGTTGTTTATAGGCCAAGTTCAAGGCTCCAGGCCTGAACATTCAGTGCCAGCCCTTGTGCTTGAGCTGCATGTGTATCAGCTCTCACCATGACTTTTTCATGCCTCCAGCCTAGGGCACCTAAAGATACAGAGGTGGTGGCAGGTGCCTTTACCTAGTATAGTGTCCAGAGCAATCATTGCCTCCACAGGCTCTGCACCAGGTATCAGGCAGTTCTCTGGGCCATGTCCACTCTCTCTAGGAACTTTCAAGACAATTGCCCCACAACTCCAGTCAGGTCTCTTGGCTCATCAATGTGGTGACATCATGCTCCTCCAGGTGGGTCTCAAGCCCTGCCAGATGAAGAAAATGGCAACCCACTCTAGTATTCTTACTGGAAAATTCCATGGGCAGAGAAGACTGGAGGTTTACAGTCCATGGGGTGGCAAGATGAAGAATGGACATTCTTTAAAACAAAAACAAAAACAAAAACTTCCCTGATGATTGAGTGGTTAAGGGTCCACCTGCCAGTGCAGCTCACACAGGTTTGATCCCTGGTCCAGGAACTAAGATCCCACATGCCATGGGGCAGCTAAGCCCGAGTGCCACAACTACTGAGCCTATGCACTCTAGAGTCTGTGCTCTGGAAGAAGAGAAGCCACTGCAATGAGAACCCTGCACACAACTAGAAAGTAAACTCCACTTGCTACAACTACAGAAAGCCCACTCCTAGCAATGAAGACCCAGTGTGGCCATAAATAAATAAAATTATTTTTAAATGAAATTTATGTATTTATTATTATTATATATTATTTTTATTTATTTATTTTAGGTCATGCCATGTGGCATGGGGGAATCTTAGTTCCCCAACCGGAGATTGAAGCTGTCCATGCCCTGTGCATTGAGAGTGTGGAATCCTAACCACTGGACTGCCAGTGGACTGCCAGTGGCACTCTCCCTCTGTTCAGGGGAGTCCAAGAACAGACATTCTTTCTACAGCTGAGACTTCTCACTCTGCCATGGGCACCATGCTTTCCTCCACCCCAGTGAGGATGTGTTGAAGGTAGGGGTGCAGTCAAGTTTGCAATAGATCTCATTCTAGGAATGCAGTGATCATTGTTTAAAGAGTTAAAGAAAAGACATGGCTAGAAGTTTTCTTATTCTACATTTATGATATAAAATTCCAAACAGAAAATTTAACATGACCAGAAAATGAAGTATTTTTGTTCACATTTCCCCATGTACTCTGTGTAAGGTTTGCTGTTGTAGGTCTTATCAGCAAAACACAGAAGTATGAGGAATCATTGGAGGCCAGGATTTATGGGCAGCCCAATGGATGATGCGATGTCCCAAGTAAGATGTAACCAGCATTAAATAAATGGTATTAGGAAACTGCAGAGGCAAGAGCTCTACATTTTCCAGTACAAACAGATTCTAAAGAGCCATGGTATTGTGAGTAATAATGGCGTTGCCACCATCTTGTGGTAGGAGATGAAATTAGCCAGGAATGGCACTGTGAGAAAATAGAAAATATATATTGTTCCTACCCCCGATTCCTGACACAGAGCTCCTGAACACCTTGTAAATTCCTACATGACAAGAGCACTAGCAGCCATGTATCAACATGAATCAGCCATAGTTATACATGTTGATGTATGGCAGAAACCAATGCAACATTGTAAAGCAATTATCTTCCAATTAAAAATAAAAAACAGAAACAGAGCACTAGCAACATCTTTTATTCTACTGAGTGACTCTAGGTAGATCTGGATGGCTCCTGGATGGGGGCTGGTCACCAGAAAGACCACACCATAATTAGAAGCTTGAAATTTTCAGCTGCACCTTCCGTCCTTCAGAGAGGGGAAAGGGCTGAAAATGAAGTTAATAATTGATCATGCCTACGTGAGGAAGCCTCCATAAAATTTCAATAGCATCAAGTTCTGGGAGCTTCCCGGCGGGTGAACCATCCACATACAAGGAGGGTGCTATACCCCAGTGTCACAGGGACAGAAGTTCCTGCACTAAGTAGTCTCCCAGACCTCACGCTAGGTTATCTCTTCATCTGACTGTTCATCTGTATCCTTTATTATGTCCTTTAATAAACTGGTAAACATAAGTGTTCCCCAGAGTTCTGTGAGTTGCTCTAGCAAATTAATCTAACTTGAAGAGGAGGTCGTGGGAACCTCTGATTTGCAACCAAATCAGACAGAATTTGTGGGTAACCTGGGGACCTACTACTTGCAACTGGCATCTGAAGTGGGGTGAGGGGCAGTCTCGTGGGGCTGAGCCCTTAACCTCTGGGATCTGATGCGTTCTCCAGGTAGATAGTGTTGGAATTGAGTTAAATTATAGGACACCCAGCTGGTGTCATAGAGAATTGCTTGATGTGGGGGAAAAAACCCCACACATCTTGTGTTAGAGGTGTTGTGAGTGTTCTGTGTGAGTAGTATAGGAGACACATTGGAAAGAGAAACACAGAAGGAGGTGGAAAACTTGGTTTTTCCCTACATGGAAGGTGAAGGATGTTTTTTTTTTCCTTTTTAGGCACATTTGACAAAAAAGAACATAAAGAACATAAGGAGATGGCTCCTGGACCTGAAGAGGAAGATGGAGACTGGAAATACAAAGATTATTCAGGTGTATTGACTATACAATAAACAGATACCTAAATATCTCTTTTTGAGAACTTACTGTAGAGCACAGGGAACTCTATTCAGTGCCTCATTGTGACCTAAATGGGAAAGAAATTTTAAAAAGAGGGGCTCTGTGTATATGTAAGGCTGATTCACTTTGCTGTACAGTAGTGTAAAGCAACTATATTCCAATAAAAATACCTCTTCTCTACACTTTTTTCTAAATCCTCATCAATAAATCATAATACCACATATGGACCCAAGATTTTCAATACACTTTTAATTCAAACTATTCATATAGATGGAGACATTGCAAAAATATTTGTCTGTGGCCCCAAATACCTTAGAGGCAATGTGGTAGGCAGCCTCTGAGATGGTCCCCAATGATCCCTGCTTCCTGGGGCTCATGCACTTATATCATCTCTTCCCCTTGAGCGTGGCCTAGATTTCCAGAGTCACTTCTAACAAGCAGAACTAGGCGAAATGATGAGGTAGTACCTCCGAGGTTAGTTTATAAAAAGACTGCAGCTTCTGTTAGGTACACTCTCTCCTGCTGGCTTCCACTGTCCCTGCTGCCACCCATTGCCTTTCCCTCCCTCAGCTGGAGCCCAGCCAATTATATGAAGAAGTACAGGCTATCCCGTGAAGGCAACGTGTAGGAGAGAGGCCTCGGAGGGGCTAGCTGCAAGAGGCACAAACTAACACACCAGATACACTGTGTGGTCTCTTGCCCAACCTCCATTCATTCATCCACAGAGGCCCCCAAATTGTCAGATCATAAAGGCAAATTCCCAATCATTGCTGCCACCGATGGACAATAACTTGGTTACAATAAGCCCAAAACAAACATTTAACAGCCAGCGGGGCAGGCAGTATGGCCTGGCCTTGACTGTCTATTTTTCTTTTCATCCCTGCAAGGAGCAGGGCGATATGCGGTAAAACTTTCTTTTTCCTGCACTATTGTTATTGACTGCCGCTGGAATAGCCTTCCTATAATGCTACACTTATCTCTGTGTTTTCCTTCTCAAGAACCCACAGTGGCTCCCTCCCTCCTGTAATCACATGGATTCAGCTGATCATTTCCTCCTCTTCTGTGCCAGCCAGCCATCTGTCCAAATATGCATTGAGGCCGCAGCGCTCACCAGGCATCACAATCATCAAAAGCAAGGCCAGGGGTGACCTCTGCTCTGAGTCTGCATCGCTGCATGGGTTTTAGGGGTCACTGGGAAGGCTGTTTTCCTGAGGGCAGAGGTTTTATCTGTTTTGTTTCTTGTTAAATCCTGCTGCAGTGCCTTGCACGGTGTAAAGGCTCAGGTAGTACATGTCAAAAGAATGAATGAACTGACTCCCTAACCCTCAGCTGGGTCCAGAGGAAACTGACCCACAGAGTGGAGAGGTGACTGGCTCAGGACCATGGATTAAAAACCTGGGGCCCCACTCACTCACCCAGTGGCTACCTGTTTCTTTCCCAGCCCTCTCCCTGTACCACCAAGACCCCCTTTCAAGGAAGCCCTGGCTGCAGTTGTCAGCTCCGCAGGGTGGGCCTCAGGTGATGAAAGCCACCTCCCTGAGGTCAATCCATGCCTGGGCCAGCCCACATCTGATGACCCATCAAGGCCGAGACATAAACCCCCATGGTTTCCTCCTGACAGGGGTCACTTTGATGGGCAGCCCTGGCTCCAGAGCTCCTCTTTGGGACCACCCAGCCTCTGTAGGGCCTTCATCACAGATCAACTGGCCCTTCCCCTGATCCCACTTTCTCCTGCTTCCCTGCACAGGAATGAATTCCCTAATAAACATGTTATACCCCAAACTCCATCTCAAATTCTTCTTTCAGAGAACCTCCCTTCTGACACGGACTATTCTCCAATGGCCCAATAAAATGCCCCAGTGATCCCAGGGTCCTTAACACTGCCTCCAGTTCTACACCAGTTTGGGGGAAACAGGTGAATAGAATAGCTACCTCGTTTATCAACTAAATGGAGATGTCTAACTAGTTGAAAAAGTCAATGTATTTAAAGCTCACCTGAGAATACTGGAGGCACATGATGCAAAACAAAAGGTGCAGAAAATGATGGTGTGTACTTCACTGGTGCTGAGTTGTATTAAACTCAGTCCAGTGCTCGCTTCAGCAGCACATATACTAAAATTGGAACGATAGAGAAGATTAGCATGGCCCCTGCGCAAGGATGACATGCAAATTCGTGAAGCGTTCCATATTTTTATGAAACTCTTCTGACTTCATTAAAAGAGAACTTTGCCTTAAAATAAATAAATAAATAAATAAACTCAGTCCAACACAAGAAGGCAGGTGGGATGGAGCGTGAAAACACAGGGATGGCTTTTATTCAGAACACATCTCCATGTGGTTCTGATGGAACTGAAAAAAACCTAAAAGCCCAAGGGAACAGCAGATGGACTACACTTTTCTGGATCTGGGAAATCAGTCTTCCGAGAGCTCCTGAAACATGTAACATGCTGTGTAGCTCAAGAATCGTGTCAAACAGGTTATTTTAGCTTAAGACACGCTTAACAATGAGGAGTAGAAAGCAATGATACTTGATGCTTGAATAATCTCTCTGATGCAAGAATGAATAAGACAAGATCAATCCTGTCAGGAAACTAGAGCATCACCTGGGACAGGTGGGGGAAACAGCCTCAGAGAATTCAGCCCAAACTTCATTTAGGGTGGTAGGAGGACCCTGATGTCTTCGTTTTTA